CATCCATCCATCCATCCATCCATCCATCCATCCATCCATCCATCCATCCATCCATCTTCTTCCGCTTAGCCGGGGTCGGGTCGCGGGGGTAGCAGCTTCAGTAGGGAGGCCCAGATTTCCCTCTCCCCGGCCACTTCGGCAAGCACCTCCAAGGCGCTCCCAGGCCAGCCGAGAAACATAGTCCCTCCAGTGTGTCCTGGGTCTGCCCCTGGGCCTCCTCCCAGCGGGACGTGCCTGGAACACCTCACCAGGGAGACGCCCAAGAGGCATCCTAATCAGATGCCTGATCCACCTCAACTTACTCCTCCTGATGTGGAGGAGCAGCGGCTCTACTCTGAGTCCCCCCCGGATGACTGAGCTCCCCACCATATCTCTAAGGGAGAGCCCAGACACACTACGGAGAAAACTCATTTCAGCCTCTTGTATCTGGGAAAAGGATGATGTGATCGAAATACTAATTTGCCTAATAATTCTGCACACAGTATAATAGGTGTCAACAGTCTTGTAATCAGTCAGTGGGCCAATATGTAAGGCTACACATTTGTTGAGTTTGAATTCAGCGCCTGCGTCCTCCAAAGGGCAGATACGTAGGCCGGTTACGTCATAGCGCTGCGCTGAGGCCAGTTCAGATTGGAAGACTCCTTGTTATGCAGCCGACAAACAGCCTTGTTTTTGCCCATTTTGAAGGATGGGTCTGTTGTATTCATTGTGAGTCCAAGAAAGCCGCTGCTCTGTACTCAGAGGAAAAACGTAAAAGGCGCCAAGCAGTGTTGAATAATGAACTGAAGTTTAATATTATATGTTTAAAAAAGTATGGGATTAGTTCTGTCAAATTAAAGCACTTCTGAAAGGAGGTGAGTGTAGATGTGGCTTTTTATTTTAGATTTTTAAACTGGGTTTCAAAAGCCTTGAGACATTAGTAAAGTAATACAAACTTAATATTTTTTTATTGTAAGCTAATTTAGTAATTTGGATTCACAAGGAGAGGACACAATCATTGAGCCTAGCCACTTCTGAGCCAGAGTTGTCAGAAGCCTCTGTCCTGGTGTGAGAAGAAATATCACAGGGCAGTTTCTCTGGTCTAAAGTCCTCTTTTTAAATAATAATAACTAAACATAAAAAAAATATATTGCAAATGAAAAAGGTCTGGAGTCTGGAAGAACAGTGGAGTAGCACATAATGCACAAAGAATAAAATCTAATGTGAAGTTTCTATTTTTTCTATCTGTCAAGAAATGTTTTTTCACCCTCATTCTGCTGACATGGCTTTTGGAGATAATCATCTCTTGTGCCAGCAGAAATGGATTTTCACTTTTTAAATTATCTAAAGACTTCCATCTTTTCGTCATTGTTGACAGGGCTTAGCTCTGACAAACCCAACACTAGGTTTTAAAGAGAAAGATAAACCCCGCTGTTCCGACCAAATCACACAGGAAATCAACAGGAATGTATCCAAAAAAAGACAGACTTACCAAAAGTTAACTTTTTGCTAATATTATGAATTAATAAAATGCATGTTTGTATGTGTAGAAATATTCTCCAAACATCAAATACTGAGAAGCTTTAAAATAAATACATGAACAAGTTACCCTGTTTGCCATTGTCACTCTGAAGAAGAAACAGGTGATCACACATCCATACAGGAACATCAGGGACAGCAGACCAATCAGAATCCAGTAAGCCTTGTTAGAAGGACAGTCCTTAACTTCTGATTACAAAAAAATAAAAAATAAAAAAATAACAGACAGAAAACAGAGGTGAGAATATGTCAATTTGGTTTCTCCTGTATTCCTGGCAAAGTTTTTACACCAAATGCCATTCCTGACAAACCCTTGATTTGAACCCAGCTTCCCCTAATTACACCCAAGGACTTTAAATTCTCCACCATTGGGACAACATATATAAGTAATGATGCTGAAATACTGGGTGGTCCCATCCTAAAATGAAGAGAGTGTGGTAG